AGATTGCTTATTTTCTTCCTTAGAGGCAGCTGATAGATTCAAACTGCCTGCCTTTGGGTTGGAAGTACAACTCCTTACCCACTAGGCCACTCGTTGTTGTTGCTGTTATGTGCCACCAAATTGACTCTCTGACTCACAGAGACCATATGAAAAATGACTCTAAGCTTTGCTCTATCCAGCACCAATCTCATCACTTCCAATACACTTGGACTCTATTGCTACAGTCACTGTGTCAATCCACCTTGCCAAGGGTTGTCTTCTCTTTTGCTGACCTTCCACCCTTCTGAGAATGATGTCCTTCTAGGTCTGCCCTTTCCTGATAACATGTTTAAAGTATGTGAAATGGAGTATCACCAAGTTTGCCTCCAAGGAGCACCCTGGTTTCACTTTTTCCAGGACAGACCTGTTTGTTCTCCTGGCAGTCCATGAGGGTATGTTCAATACTCTTCTCTAGCACCACAACACAAAGGCATTGATTCTTCTGTTATCCTTAGTCATTGTCCAGCTTTTGGATGCACAGCAAGCAATTGAGAAGTCCATGGCGTGGATCAGGTGCACCTTAGTCTTTAGACTGACATTGTTGCTTTTTAGCACTCTGGAGAGGTCGTTGAGAGGAGATTTTCTCAATGCAACTCTTCTTTTGATTTCCTCACTGCTGGTGTCAAGGGAGTTGATTGTGGATCTAAGATGAAATCATTAACACCATCAATCTTTTCTCCATCTATCATGATATTGCCCCATTGGTGCCGTGGTGAGGATTTTTGTTTTCTTGATGCTGAGACATAATCCATACTGAAGGCTAGAGTCCTCCTTTATTTTCTTGCAGCAAGTGTTCAGAGTCCTCCTCACTTTTGGTGAGCAAAGTTGTCACCTGCATCAAACAAGTGGTTGATGAATATTCCTCGGCTCCTGATGCTACACTTTTCTTTGTAAAGTTCAGCTTCTTGAACGATGTGTCCTGCATAGATTGAAAGCTATGAAGAAAGGACTAATGGACTAACAGTCTCCTTTCTTGATTTTGAACCTTGCAATCTTCCCTTGCCCCTAGAGCTCCCTCAAATTTCAATAAAAAATTAAAAGAGAGATTTGCAGAGATACACAGGGAAATAAACAAAAAGCAAGATGAGTTGGAAGGTAAACTTACAGGTAATAGGGCTAGCAGTGGCCAAGGCAGCCACATGCGTTAGACTGTGATATTTCACAATTACAGTCTGTGGTTCAAACATGGAGACTGACCCTCAGCACACAGATCTGTGCTCTAAGCAGGTTCTCAAACATCCACAGGCAACCCTTCTTCTAACACTCCTAGAGCACAGAGGAAATCACTTGCCAGAAAATTGGACAAGTCCTCAAAAAGATGGTGCCACCAAAGTCCTTCCTTGAGCACTTATTAAGTTTGAAAGATGTAATAATATGAGTTTGAAAGATGTAATAATATGTGAGGTATAAATAATTGTGAAATGTGGTTAGAGGTAACTTTAAAATACTGCTGTTGACTCTAAGGGGGGGAAAAAACCACAAAAAAATCCCCCCAAAAAAGGAAGCAAGAAGAATTAGACTATTAATCAGATGAAGCAGAATTCAAGATATAAAGCAACTGTGAAAAAGCACTCAAAAAATGAGATCCTTGGCAGAACTCAACGAGCTGACAAAGGCCTGAGCTGGATGCTATCCTCGGCCCTTACTTCAGCTTTTTAGAGCAATTGACCTATGACTACATTCTTGACCAAAACAACTTGTTCTGCAACATTCTGAGGTGGCCTGTGGAGTGCTGCAGGAGCCATCTCTGTAATGCTGGAAACCATGGCTAAGACTGGGTACTCCAGCCAACAGGCATTCTTGACAAGTGAACTTTACGGAGTACACTGAATGTTAACCAATCAACTCTACAGCTGTCTTCTTTCCCCACCCTGTACAAAGTTCTAATAAAAGATGTAGATTTATACTCTTTCTTTGGAGTGCCATTTGAGCATTCATTCTGGTTCTTCCCAGTTTGTAAATCTTTGGATCTGAATAAAACTATTTTATAGGAAAGAAAGAAAAGGATACAGGAGGGAAAAAATCATCAATATTGCAAATAAAACACAACCAAATGATAGCAGTACATTTATAATTATAAATAATCAATAATTTATATTAAT